AACTTCAATATAAATTGTATGTTGATATCCAAATCATTTTATAATTGCAACCGACTTTGTATAAACTCCATAATGATGAACCAAAATATATAAAATTATTATTATTTCTGTATTAACAATAAATATATGTGTTGAAATATTATTTATATTAATATAAACGGGTCAACGAGCTAATATATTGTTAAAATAAACTTTTTAAAAAAGTGTTCTAAGATAAGAAACCCCACACATCACACGGGACTCTCACTAGTAAGGATAGAAGAATTTTATTGGTCCCATATTGGGGATAGTGGAACTTATATTCTAAAAAAAATTTGAATTTAAGATATGCATATTGTTGGAAAAAATCAGTTATAAAACTTGGCTTTGACCCAGTTTTAACTAGATTTTTGATGGTTAAATATATAATTTAGGTTAAATTAAATTGTGTAAAAAATTCTACGTTTCGAGTAGAAACTCACGGTATATTTATTTACTCAAAATTGATTTTCAGTGAGTAAGAAATAAATGATTAATGTTAGTCATAAATGGACATGCAAAGCGATAGTTGTGAGATTCGAATAGTCAAAAGTCCTTCTCGATTGGACTTATAAATGAGATTAACTCTCTTTATTATAATAAAGTGAGTTGGATAAGTCACAACAACAACAAGAAGAATATGTATCAAGGTGTTGGTGTTGGCTTCGGCCACAAGCATTAGTCTGTGGGCCGGCCGGTCGACTCATACTCGGGCTCGGGCATGGTCATGGGTCTGGGCCTGAGAACTTGACGATTGGACTGTGGGCTGGACTTGGGCGGCATGGGCCGGTATTGGCTTGGGTCTTGGGTCAATCACTATATATCTTTTTAGTGCAAATTTATTTGCAATTGAAGCCCAATATAAAATCCAAAACAACTTAGGTTTTGATTTGGGTTTTGACCCAAACAGTGAAAGAACTTTCAGGTACATTGAATCTGGACGTGTGACCTTTCACTTGTCCACCACCTTACCATTTCAGTGGTTACCAGGTAAAATGAAGGTGAGTTAACACCCGAGTTACAACAACCATAAGTGGGTTGTTACAAGCTGAAGAGTCATTTCCTACATGGTTGGAAGTCCTACAAATAGGACACTATATAAGCTGCAGAAGATACAAAACATACAACTGCATGCATATCATTCTATACTAAAAGTCAGGGATGCACAAAGTTTGGTTAACCGAGCCGAACCGACAGAAACTGAAAATTCGGTTTGGACCGAAATTGAACATTTGGTTCGGTTTTCAGTTTACATTTTCTTAAAATTTCAGTTTTCGGTTCGATTTGAATAATTGTTATCGGTTAACCGAACTGAACAAAAAACCGATTACACGTATATATACATGTTTTTTTATTTATACATATAATATATAAAAGCATAAATTTGTTTAAATGATTGATGATTTTCAAGCTTCAATGACCCTAAAATGGCTCAAGCATTAATTTGCACTCAAGATTCGCTCGTCATAGTCCAAGTTACAGTTCAGGTCCGAAATCTTCCTTAGTGGATAATTTATAATTTATTGAGAAGACTAAACAAAGTGATAAAAACATTATTATTTTTTGTTCGGATAAAACATCAAAATTTTTGTTCAGTTAAAAATTTGGAATTTATTGAGAAGATTAATTATTTATTGTGATTAACCTAAAACGAACCGAACCGAGCATTGTATTTTCGGTTAGAAACCGAACCGAACCGTAAAATTTGATTCGATTTTCGGTTAGAATAATGGACAAACCGAATTTTCGGTTAAAACAATAGACAAACCGAATTTTCGGTTAAACAAAAATTTGGTCGGCTCGGTTTCTACATAATGAGCAGCCCTACTAAAAACCTCACGCATCATATACATTGCTTAGTTCTCGGCTCTGTTCTTCCTCATCGGAACTCTAAAGGCTAGGTGCTACAACTTTCGACTGAATATATAGCCATTGTATCTTGTTTTATGTTTTGGGGACATTACCCACAGATCGGTCAACGGTACACATGGCACATTTTCCTTGAAAAAATAATGATCGATTTCAATCGCCTTAGCTTTAATATGTCTGCATTAGACTTGTAATTGTGTTTTTTGTTTTATAGTTCGAATTGTAAGAACTTAACACTCAACTTCAGTTCATAAGTTTCCCATTGTAATCGACACTCACGATTGTAACAAATATTTCGGTGGGATTTTAGAATACAATACAACAAAATACATATTAAGGATACCCCATTACCCTATTTGTAATTACCAATGGATGTGCATTAAGTTACTATACTAAATGTGATTCTCTCAACAATGAGAACTTCCAATTTGATTAGGCTTTGACAAATGGAAAGAAGGCGACAAACACGACTAAATGAACTCCAACTATCAAGACTTCCTATGTACACCAAAAAATAAATAATAATAAAAAAATGAAAATTTGTGTTATTAATTAAATTTTTATGGTGCAATTGAGATTATATGTCGGTATTTGGATTGTTTTTTAAGCCCCATATTCAAATAATCGGTTTTGCTATGGAGCCAACAGTTGGCTCCATAGTAGAGTCAACTTTCTATATACAACAAGTAAACCTACCATATACTCTGATTACTTAAATAACATTAATATAATTTTATAAATATAGTAGGTTTATTTGTTGTATATAGAAGATTGGTTCCACTATAGAACCAACTGTTGGCTTTATAGCAAAACCGTTCAAATAATATTAATATATATGGCAAAACCGACCACATCGATGAGGCATCTTAACAACTTTGTATTTATGTAATTTTTAGTTCCAAAACTTAACAAAAATATACATCATTTAACACAAAAA